TAGACAAAATTTGTCCACAAAACAAAACTTCTGTCACATGATCTTCAGACATTTAAGAATATAAAAATTTTCTTTGCTCTGTTGATGCCATGAAAATAAGCTATATAAAAAAATATATCAATTTTCTTTTAAAAGAAACATCCTATCTAACAGATATTGTAAAACATTACATTTCGTGATTATAAAAATCACCAGCATATATATAATAACAGCATTTTAGAAGTTTCCTTGCTGCATAATAGTAATTTTATTATATTAAATATATTTATTCATTTAATTAAATAAATGAAAATAAATCTTAAAAAATAATTTTCTGAGAATATTTTCTTTTTCTTTCACAACCCAAAAGAAAACAATATATGTCATTTAAAAAGAAATTCCAAATAAAATAATAATTTAGTTTTATTGAAAGTTTTAACTTTCAGATTTAAGGATGATTTTCTACATCTTCTAAATGGTTTCAAATAAAATTTTAATAGATTTAATTTCTCTGAAGATTTGTTTCTATAAAAATGTAAATATTTTTTTTTATTGAGATTTCATAAAATTAAATAAAAATGTGGTGTATGGTTTACTAAATAAAAAAAATAAATTTCCAGAAATGTTCTTACAAAATTCTATTTTCAGAAATTCAGTAAAGTAATAAATACAGAAATTTTTATTGAAATTAAATGACTAAGTGATTTTTTGAAAAAATTTTAAAATCAATATACAATTCACCCACAAATACTCCATGACTTTATTTCTATATTGTTTTAAGTTGTAAATACTTCTTTAAAAACAAAAATCACTTGTTCTGTATGTTGGACACAAATAATTTCTATATGAGGATAATTTTTTCCAATAACCCTACTTTTAAATGGCACAAAGTTTATTACAAATGTTATAAGTTTCAGGCATTTATATCAACATGTCACCTTGTTTTGAAAAATGTGTGGAAGTACCTATCTGGGAAGATTTGTGGTAATAAAAATAAATTTGACAACTGGTAATATTCATAAACATATTGAAGTAGTCAGTGCAAAGTCAATCTTTTTATGAGATCAATTTTTCTAATAACTGAAAAATTTCTTATATCTTACTTATTATAAAACGCAGATTGTGTGCGTGTGTCTGTAACGTTTATATATTGGATCGAATTTCCTACATTTTTAGCCGATTTCAACAAAACTTCACAGGACTACATAAAATTACCTTGTGATGGTTCTAACGGCGCTTTAAAATGGGAAAAAACAAAATTGTTTTTAAGAAAATCAATTTGAAAACACGATTAAGACACATCGTGAGAATGAAAAGGGGGCAAATCACCCACGAAAATGTAAACAAAAGAGCATAGCATGATGAAAAAAAAGCCGTACTTGACGAAAACAAAATTTTATCGTCTAATGTTCATATTATTAAAGAGGAAAGATCAAAGTATTTTGGGGGTATTTTTTTTTACATTTCTTAATCGTTCCCAGCACGTCTGAAATTTTCGTTAAATATATTGTTTTATTTTGGTCAAAAAAAAAAAAAAAAAAAAAAAAAAAAAAAAAAAGGACAGATAATCAATCATTTTCAATCATTTTTTTCAATTAAAATCTGACTTTGATATTCTTTTAAAAATCAATTATCATTTTTTCAAAACTGATTTTAATAAAAACAGAAATTATACTGTTTATTTAAAATATCTTGAACCAAGCTTAACTTAGCTTCTGCTACCAAAAAATGTAATTTGAAAATAAAAAACAAAGCAGGTCATAACCTTTCGCGTAAACTGACGAAAGGCACATTCATGACGTTTAGATAATTTACGGAGGATAATTCTTTCTACGGATGGAAGGAAGTGAAATTATTTAAGTAAACAAATTATTTACCTCGTTACTTTTAAGGAAAAACTTTCAGCGCTAATTTTTTATTTTTATTTTTTTTTGTACTTAGCTTTCATTTTTACGTTTACAATGCTTTATGGAAAATATAAAGAAATTAAAAATAAGACTGTTAATAGTGAGATTAAATTTCATAAGAAAAAAAGGTATCTAATTAATTTAGGTACCTTTCTTATGAAATTTTATCAGAAGTGTACATAAAATACTATAATTTTATGTACATTTATTACATTTTACTGTGTTATTTGTATTTCCATTCATTTTATTATTTATTTTGTTTGATATTTCATTTATGGAAAAATGTCATAACTGAGATTAATATAAAAATAAGATCATATAAATTAAAGTTTAGCAGTAGTTAAATTTCATAAGATGATACCAGTATTTGTAGGTACCCTTCTCAGTTGAAATTGAAAACTCAAATTAACTTCTCCATACGTGTTTTCAAAGTAAAAGTAAAGGGCTTAACAGCGGAGAACAATGCTGAACTCAAATAATGCAACTAAATTGTATTCTGGTTGGTCTTCCATACTTGATAATTACTGTCCAAATATAAACACAAAAATTACATTTCTTAATTACCATGGCTAATCTGATTGGTCCAAATTATACAATTTTCAAAGCGCTAGACAATGACAATCTCACACGGACATTTTGAAAGGTTGATGTTGCTTTTAACTAATGTTAAAATATTTTTTAAATTCAATTTAAACATTTTTAAAAAATCTTTTTAAAATTAAAGAAATAAGAAATAATTGTATTAAAAAATTCAATTTTCATTGAAAAAAATTTTTTGCTTTCAGAAAATATTGTCCATATTCATAAAAAACAAATTAAAACAAATAAAAGCATTTGAAACTAAATAATATATTTGTTTTATTGAGTTTTGTATGTTACAATTCACAGCTGATTTTCAGGTACGTTGGCAAAAAAAAAAAAAAACATGATTTGCATTCTTCAAAGCCTTGTGCTTTTAACTATTGTAACCACTAAAACCAATGGTCTTGAATTTCTAGAGTTTTTCATAAAATTAGTTATGGGGTGTTAATAAATATAAAAAAAATATTTCTGCCATGACTTTAATAAAAAAAACATATTTATAATAATTTCGATCATCTGTGAATAGTTTCTGAAAGTTTCATTAACATCTGACAATTATTTTTTATTTTGCAAGATTTTCCAAATTAATGTGTGTAAATACAAAAAACGCGCTAAAAATTATCTATGTTATTTACTACCCCTTGTTACACAAAAAGAGAAACAAGGTTTTTAAATCAAAATTTAGAATATTCTAAAAAAGATGGAAAAATTTTAAAAAATAATTAAAAAAAAATTTAGTCTATCCTCTTCATAAAAACATAAGCATTTTGACGATAAAATTTTGTTTTCATAAACTTTGGCGTCCTTTTCATCAGACTATGCTCTATGTTTTAGCGATTCCGTGGAGTGACTTATGTTAAAAAACCCAGGTTGTTTGTGTGTGTGTGTGTGTTCCTTTATATATGGGATCGGATTTCTTACATTTTTCAGCCGATAAAACAAACATCCACTTTTTTTTTAGCAGGTAGTATTTCTTATTGTCTTGCACACTTTTTTCTTTATTTATACATTCAGAATGCTTTAAAAATTCCATTTACAAGACAATTGTTTATAATAAAATTCTAATTCTATTCAATCGGGGACTCATCATAACGATATTGAAAACAATGTTTTTGTTTGAGTTTGACCAATTCGTAAAAAAAAAAAAAAAAAAAACTAAGACATGCATGTCCGTCAACCTAAACAATAATCTAACGATCTCTACTGATTGTACGAATCGAAAAATCGGATAATTCTTTATCTTTAGGGAAAGATAATTCCACGTACTTTAGGGCCGTTTTTACAATTCCCTTTGCAATTTGTTACACGGCAGATCAATAAGGCATTGGTTCTATTTGAAATTAATTCAATATTTAAAAGAAAGTATTAAGAAATAATTTAAAAATGCCGACGTAAGAAATCTGATAGACAAAAAACAACAATATTTTGAAGATAATTATTAAGGAAAGAACACAGTACTTGTAATAATAAATTAATAAACCCAAATAAAGTTAATATTTTTTGTATTAGAAACAACGAGTGGAAAATATATTCAAATCAGAATTCTAATTATGAATCACCACAAGCAAAATATGCAATTTTTTTTTACTGTATTCAATAAGTAAAAATCATAAGATTACAGATAAAGGCTACCTACATTTTTCAACCGATTTCAACAAAACTTCACTTTTTTTTTGGCAGGTAGTGTTTCTTATTGTCTTGCACATTTTTTTCTTTAATTTTACATTCAGAATGCTCTAAAAATTCCATTTACAAAACAATTGTTTATAATAAAATTCTATTCACCAATCGATAGACTCATAACGATTGTAAACAATGTTTTTGTTTGAATTTGGGTTTGACCAATTCGTTAAAAAAAAAAAAAAAAACTAATTAAGACATGCGTGTCCATCAACCTTAAACAATAATCTTTGTCAATTTTATTTTTCAGTCTTTATGATGGTCGATACTTGATCTATCTCTTACTGTTACATCCCCGGGCAACGCCGGGCTCTACTGCTAGTAGTTAACAAAGTTTTTATGCAGAAAGATAATACATTTCATTTATATTTCTTATTCTAAACAGCTGCTGCTGTCACTTAATTGTTTGGATAATAGAAAAGTTATTCATGCCCTCAATAAAACAATTCAAGAACAAGCAAAACAGATATAGTTGGATTAAAAAAAAATATAGGTATATCAATAAATTTGTAGACCAATAATGAAAAGCAAAGAAAAAAAAAACAAAAAAAAAAAACAATTACACAGTAAATATTTTTCAACATATTCCATACACTTAAATGTAAATATTAATTCCTTGAAACAAACATTATACAGTAAAAAATTTAATATCAAAATTAATAACTATCTAGGACAATGAACTTATTAATTACCCTTCATATCAATTAAAGTGAAGTAAGTCAGTATATAATCAAAAGGAGCTGAATTAGCAACACATGTATTTCTTTTTTATAACTACTGTATGCTACAAAATGAAAAACAGATGATCTAAAGAGAAATTTCATTTAACCAAGTGATTATTTTGATAGTCACCTGAAGTAAGATGTAGCTGTCTTCTCCACTGACAACTGGCACTATAACTAAGTTGGCATTCCTGCTGAGGCTTCGATTTATAAACAGCAAGAGGTAAAATATGGTGTAGTTTTCGAACTGATGAATATTGCCAACCTGGAATCTGCATAAAGAATAAAATATAATTTGTCAATCAAATGCAGTTGCATAGAGAAAAATACAAGAAAAATTAATACATAAATATGATTTTATGGTATATTTATTCCTACATAATTGTCATGTAGAACTATTCAGCTTCTTTCACACATTCACTGTTACCTTGGATTCAAATAACCAACATACAAAATCAAAACATTAACCTCAAGTTCTGTCAAATTGAAGCTTTCATATGGATATCATTCATGGCACCAAACCTGTTCAGAAATATTTAAACTTTCAGCTGTATACAATCATTTTAAGATCAATGGTTAAAAATGAGTTTGAGCAAGTGAAGCCTGAGGGAATGCTAAATGTTTCCTTGTAGTAAAAATATTACCATTACATAATGACTACTATGTTTTTGTTGGTGTTACAATGAGAAATTACTATATAAGTAAATAAATTACTTTATTTTAGTAAATAAATTTATTAAGCTATAAAGAATGATGTTAATGTGCTTATGAGTTCAATCAATGTTAGAGGATGTGGTAGAGAGGAAAATGCACATACGAGTACCAGAAAGCTTTGGGGAGCGATCAAAATAGTGGAAAGCTCACAGAACTGATGTCATGTAAAGTTACTGCATTTCACTGAACTAGAGGCAGTTCTACACAATATTCCATGATATTTTGCACATCGATGCATATATAAATCATGTGATCTGATTATGTGCTCTTCTTTCACTGGACCACATGTATCACACTGTAGCCAAGTCACACTGTTGAATATATTACAAGTAACATTTAGTATAGTCTTTACAAAAAAAAAAAAAAAAAAAAAAATTAAATTCTCTGAAAGACTACAAAAGACACCAAGAGCAGTTCTTGTGATGAAAGATAAAGTTCTAAAATAATTATATTATGTTGAAGTTGTTTGAAAGATAGCAGAAGACAGTGTAACAGTAAGAAACAGTTTTCAATAAAGTCAATGTTGAAAATATAATCTGTTTTATAAATTTATTAAGCTATAGAGAATGACACAAATGTGAATCCTTGTCATTGGTGTTTTTACTTTTTTTTTTACTATTGTGTCATGTAATGCTTTTGAGTATTATGGTTATTTTCTTTTAGGAAAACATAAAATCATGTTAAAAAAATTACATTAAATGCATAATTTTTATTTTTAGAGAAATAAAAACTGTAAAATGAATACACATATGCCTCAAAGGCAATCTGCAACATACAACAAAATATATGTATGTTATATAACAATAAACATCTCTCCCTGAATTTCTGTGATGAGAAGTTATTACATACACTATTTATATTTGGATTATTGTACTCATCTTTGTTGTTATCATAATGTTTCAGAGAGCACCTCTGGCCTTCATCAAGTGTATATCAATTCCAGTAACCTATAAGGAATTCTGAAGTGAACCATTTATTCAATCTACAGGAGTAAATTTTTCTCATGCCTTTGTCCATGTCTAGTTTTTATTTTAGTACCACTCAGTTATTGCTCACGCCACTTCCACCAAGTCCAAGTACATACTATCTGACCCAGGGATTGAACTCACAATTACTATGTCACCAAATTCACAAAGCAACACTTTAATCCACTATAGGTTACCCAGATTGATATACATCTGATGTAGACTGGGGAAACATGATAACAACAACAAAGATGAGGACAATAGTCCAAATGTAAATAGTGAAAATAACAATAAACTTGTTAAAAAAATAGTTATAATCATTTATTAAATATCATTATTTTTTGAGAAAGAGAGAGAAAATAGTTATATTATTTATGTTTGTATTTGATGCTTTAAAACTTTAATTCACCCTAATACAGGTTTTCACAACCTGGGCAATATCATCCACCAGTGGGCAACGAACAACTGAATAGAAAATTGAGGGTGATTAGGAATTTTGATGGGCAATATAGGATTTTGAGTATTAAAAAGGTATTTCAACATATGCTAACTGAAAAAATATTCTAAGGAGATATGCAAAGAAACTGTATAAAAATTAAAAAAAAACAGGAAGCTAAATAGGAATAAGTGGGTTACATTAATAAGATATAAATATCCCTGTAAATAAATATTTTGGTATTTTCTATAGTTTTGTGAAGTGTCATTAACATTCAAATAGTTCTTCAGACAAAATAACTGTTTTTTACAGATATAAAGCAGATAAGGAAAGTGCAAGAACAACAAAATATTCACTAAATTTGTATTAGTTGCTAGGAGTATATATTCTTTTTAATTTTATAATTATGAACAAAAATTAATTTTTTGTCAATACTTGCAATGCTAACCCTAACAATAAAACAATATTATACATAGTTTTCAATGGTCAAATTTGCCTTTGTTTGTTCTTTAATTTGGTATTAGATGCAGCAGCCACCACATAAGTCAACATTATTTGTTACCACATCATAAAGTCAGTTTATGAACCAATAACAAACTTTTACCAAATAATTTTCGTATACTTTTGAATATTTACTATACAGGTGGGTGGTGGAAAATTTTTCCATGTGAAAGTGACAAATGATGCAAAAAAGTTTGAGAACCTCTGCTCTATTATGATAACACAGCAAATACTAAAAGTATAAATATAGAAAAGGAAGTAGAGAAATACAAAAATTTACATTATATATGTAGTATGTCAACAGATAGTGCATATAAATTCAAAAGTCACTCATTTAATACTTGCTTAAAAATAATTTCAGAAACGTGTCTCAAGGGTACAAATGATAAATTAACCATTACATTTTGCAATTTTTAACCTAAAATTTGCTTGAGCAAGTTTTGGTGCCTTATTATATTGTGCATCAAAAAATCAGGAAGAAAGGATATTGAAATCTTGAAATATAGAGACTTCTGGTGTTTGCAACTTCAGCTCAACTACCTACACTCTAAAGTGTAAAGCTTATATATTGCTGGCTCTAACCATAGGTCAGCCATGATTAGTCAATGGCCTGGCATCACATGCAAATTAATAAGTAGTGCTATATATTTCAACCAACCACTGACTCTATCCAATCATTAAATTACACCAGCATTAGTTACATTTTTTCCATTTTTATATGCTTTTAAGGTATGCTATATTTATGGGTAAAAGTGCTCAATTTCGAGGATAGAACATATGTAAATATAAAAGGACACAGAGTTTAACATTGAGCAGTGACAGTTGATTTCGTGCTTGAATACAAACCTCAGTTTTATATATATATATATATATATATATATTTATATATATATATATATATATATATATATATATATATAAAAAGACAAAAGTGGACACTGATGTCAACACTGAGCAGTGACAGTCTGTTTCATGCTTCAATGCAATCTACAGGCTGTTTCTATTTAGTCTAAATATGCATTACCTAGCCCATATGCTATACTTTTACCCATAAATATAGCATACCTTAAAACTATATTTTTAACAATATATATATTTTATGCAATAGGAATTAAGATTACATAAGGATAATGATAATTTTTACCTTGTAAATTGAAATGAATTTTCAAAGACTTTTCAAACCAGTCAATGGATGATAAATTATTGAAAAAAAACTGGTCAAACAGAAGGAAAGAAGGGAAGAAAAATGGAAAAAAGAAAAAGAGATCAAATAAAAACAAGTAGTGTATGAGGGGTGGTTAGGGGAGAAAAGGAGAGAAAATAAGGGGGAGAGAAAAAGAGAGAAAAAATGTGGTCGATGCCTACAAGACAAAATTAGAATTATTTAATTTGGAAATCCAAATATACTTTTGAACCAAAGGAATGAATTAATTTTTAAATATCATCACCAAAGTAGATTTAAACTTATCTAGAGTCTTACTGAAGTTGCATGAACCATTATCATTTGACAATTGCACTGTATATTCTGCTTTTTATATTTATAATTGATTGATATATCTCTTTTTTTCAATATTATATGGTAGTATTATATAAAGAGGTTAATTTATGTGATAATAATTACATAATTATTATAATTTTACAACTATATTACATAATAATATACTAGAATATAACTTTTTTGATGTTTTGTTGTGTAATAATACATAATTATGATAGGATAAACTATATAGGCTCAGTTTTATATATTTATTTCAATCAATTGGTATGATTATTTATGAAGTATTTAGAAATTTAATATTACAGGTCTTTTTAATATATTAATGTGGTGTATATATTAATATATAATACTGATATTACTGATATATATTGTAATTTTGTTTGATGAAGTGGTATTTGAAAATTTATCTTAGTATAATATTTAGAGCTTTTATAGTTTTGTATGTATTTTTATTAATAGTTACTGGTGTTTTTTTTACGTAATATTTAATATATTATTTAAAATTTTTTACCACCGAGCTCTATGTGTGAATCAGTTTTAATATTGTATTAATAGGATTTACTTGGATTATATACCAACAGATTATTATATATATATTATATGCACACATAAATATGGGGGTAGGCTTGAAAAGTTCATAGGCTGACTATAAAGGAGTGATGCTAGAGCTGTGAAATCTTGCATGCATTAATTTCAACTCTTATTAATAACTGCATTGATTCTTTTGAGCTAAACTGACATCTGAGAGTTCATCCTATTGGTCAAAAAAGTCATCAACATCAGATATGTTGCAAACATCACTGCAATACTGGTTCCCAACCAAGTGTTTTTCATGTTAGGGAACAGGTGATAGTCAAATCAAGAGAATAGGGAGGGTGATCAACCAGTTCAAAGCTACAGTCATGCACAGCAGTCATTGAAACCAAGAACTTCTGTGCTGGAGCATTGTCTTGAAACAAGACCCCTTTCATCAGTTTTCTTGATCATTTGGTCTTGATAGCCTTTCATAACTGCCTCAGTAAGTTGGCATAGCACTCTCCATTGATGGTGTGGCCCTTTTGAAGATAGTCAATAAACACAGTGACTTCTCCATCCCTAAAAACTGTGCAGATAAAATGATTTTGGAACAGTTGAGGAGAGGTGGTTCCACTGCATGGA